AGAAGGAATGTACTTTAGAAGAGGGAAATTATAGGATTTTAAAAGCCATATTGATTGGTATAAAACAACTGGCTCTGCTATAAACTGATGAAAACACTGAGTAATTTGATTTTGTACATAAATGGTATTTTCATAGTGGAAATCATTAAAGTGATACATAATTCCAACAAATACAACATAGTTTTATTGTATTACAAAGTACTGTGTTGATTCACCAAAATTTTGTAATTTGGAAAAGGAATTACCTTTTTAAGATTTGTATTTCCAACAGTCTTTATGATTTAGAATGCTGTATTATAGGCTGATTATGTTAACTGAAAATGATTACTTATATTTTGCAGCACTCTAAACTTAAACAGAAGAACAGTTGTTCATATATTTTAGCATTTTATATTTGCCTAACTTATAAAATTGCCATGTGCCTGACTTATAAAATTGCCAATGTCAAAAATCATACTTCTATAATTGCTAAAGCATGATATGTCAGATTATTTGAATGTAATTACATTTGGAAGTGTTGCGACCAGAAAATACTCTTTTTTAAAAAGGAGACTTGTGCATTATTTGACTTATAAATCAACTCCAGCATAAATCCTATAATCCATGAATGCTTACTGCTTTTAATAATATGATGCCACAGCTGGGGAAAATGACTGGCTTAAGCTAACCACTAAATGCACTGCAGTGGTTTTTTATTTATGTGAAATCCATATTTCTGATTTATTAGGGCCAGGTGCCATCTGAAAAACAGTAAGTGAATTTTTTTCATATTTCAGGGTATCTAAGTAACAACTACTAAATAGTATTTGTGATACTGGCAATTGTTGCATACAGAGTATTTTTCTAAAAGGCAATTAGCTTTTGCCTTTATTTTGTAGTGCTTAATGTAAGTGACCAACTTGTGAGGTTTCTTATAAAAGAGAATGTTAATAAATGCATGTAAACCACAGAAATTGTATATTGGACCATTTGAAAATTAGTGTTTTTTTCTATTTAAAAGATTGTTTACAAAGGCCACATGATCATCTCAATAGAGGCAGAAAAGCATTTGACAAAACCCAACATCCTTTTCTGATAAAAATACTCAACAAACTAGGAATAAAGGAAATTTCCTCAACCTGATAAGGGGCATCTATGGAAAACCCACAGCTTTAACATTATATGTAATGGTGAAAGACTGAAAGCTTTCTAAGACCAGGAGAAAACAAGGATGTCTGCTTTCACCACTTCTATTCAACATTGTACTGGAAGTTCCAGGCAGGGCCATTAGGGAAGAAAGGCAATTATTGGCATCTGAAATGGAATGGAAAAATTAAAACTATTTCTATTTGCAGATTACACGGTATGCATATAGAAAATCCTAAGAAAGCCACAAAAATGAGTAGAGCTAATTAATAAAAGAGCTCTATAAGGGTACAGGATTCAATTATACAAAATCAAATGATATGTATTTGTGTTCACTGAAAATGAACTATCCAAAAATAAATTAACAATTTCATTAAAAGAACATATTGAAAAATAAATTTCATAAAACAAATGAAAGATTTATACACTTAAAACTACTAAACATCACTGAAAGAAATTTAAGACCTGAATAAATGGAAATACAGGGTTGGGAGAATTACACTATTAACATGTCAATACTCTAATGCTCCTTAATTGACCTACAGAGTCAAAGCAATCCCTATCAAAAACCCAAGCTGGCTTTTTTTTTTTCTTCAGAAATAGACAGGTTATTCCTAAAATTCATAAGGAAATGTGAAGGACCCCAAATAACCAAAACAATTTAAAAAAAGAACAAAGTTGGAGGACTCATACCTAATGATATCAAAGGTATTACAAAGCTACAGTAATCAAGACTGTTGGTACTAGCATAAAAATAAACATATAAATTAATAGAATAGAATGGAAAGTTCAGAAATCCATACATTTATTGGGCAGTTGATTTTTGACATGAGTGCCAACATCATTCCATGGGGAAAGAAAAGTCTCTTCAACAAATGATGTTGGAACAACTGGATATCCAAATGCAAAAGTGTGAAGCTGGACCCCTACCTCACACCATATACAAAAGTTGACTCAAACTGAACCATTGACCTAGATATAAGATATAAAACTTAGAAGAAAGCATAGGTGTACATCTTTTTTTTAAATTATATGCAACAGTTTATTTAAAATAATTTTCCAAGTCTTCCCATAATTAACAGCTTTTACTTCATTTTATCCTCCTGAACAGCTAGAAATCAACATTTACATTTTTCAACTTTAACCATTATGTATACTATTTCAATGACATCTTCCTTTAATACTAGAACCAAATATGTTGACCAATAAGCAGTACAGATTTAAAGTATCTTCTTAGTAATTATAGTGTTAACAGTTTGTTGGGATTTATCATATGCTGGAAGCTATTTGAAGCTGTCTTCAACTAGCTGATTTAGGAAAATCATGCCACCTACCTAGGCCTGTTGTCTCTCTGCAAAATAAAAGGCTAGATTAGATTATTTCTATATTTTTTATCTAGCTATAGGACCCCATTAATATATTCCTTATGATTTTCAATTTTACCTCATCTTTATTTGTTACTTCTCTACCTATAATTATGCATACTCAAGTAAACATGAAGTCATTAAATAAAAATGCAAACCCAAATATTCTTAATCATTCTGATATATTCCCATTAACAGATGAAAGGGCTTTCGCTTGAATTTTCACTTTTTATTTGTACTTCATTATTTAAAGTCAATAATAAAGTCACAACTGTAAAATGAATGCATTTAAAAACACAAAAGATAGACTTCAGTGACAAAAAATATGTAATGATGATGAAAATATACACTTTGCCGAGGTCAACAGCATGAGTGACGGTATATAAAAGTCAATCTTCAAATATATCCTTAACCAAAACTTATTCCTGAAAAGGAAAATTATCATTCAAGAGTATGTATGTGTATACATCTGAACACCAGCTCCAAAACGACAAAGTGTGTGTGTAGAGGGAGGGTTAGATAAAAATATGTGGGTACCAGAAATGCAAGACTAAACTTCTGAAACTAACATTTAATTCAAAATAAAATGAACATTTCTAATAGATGACAACTGTATGAAACTTTTTCTTTTCCTTGATAGAAATTAGATGGGCCATTTCTTAACAGCTTAGTACTCATCTAAGAAAAATTGTGGGGCTACTCCCAGCTCCTAACCCTGTGCCACAACCACTGCTATAAAGCAACTACCATCCATGAAATTACCTTTCACATTACTAAAATATCCTCATTTACTTGGTATGATTCATGCTTAGAATCCTATTTCAAACACTTGTTTTTAGAGGTGTGGAATATACCAGAGCTTTTTGAAACTATCTATGTATTAATAATAATTGAATCTGTGCAGAGATAATAATCCTTTCACTATACCGCCACTGGGTTTCCTTAAGCATATCTGATCAGCTATTTTAACAGTGTTGCTGGTAGTAATAAGTGATAGCTCAAATTTTTCCTTTAAAAATATATATAATCCATGTAACACTAAGTAGTAAATATGTTACATTGTATACCTTCTTAACAAGGAATGACTGTTTTCAGGCCCTACTAGGAAGAAACAAAACTAATAATGGCATTTACTACCTGTCTTATCACTGTTAAGCTACGACCTTTCAAATGATGAACAGTTTTAAGTATGTGATATTAAACAAAAAATGAAAATGGATATGATTTTACCAGAAGAAAAAAAAAAAAAGGTAAGAAGTTAAATGAGCACAACATAGGTCCCAAAGATTACACTATGATTCTGAACCAGATTTTCAAAGCATAAAGCAATTACAGACAATTTTTTAAATTAAAGTATGATTGATACACACTCTTATGAACGTTTCACATGAAAAAACAATGTGGTTACTACATTTACCCATATTATCAAGTCCCCACCCATACCCCAATGCAGTCACTGTCCTTCAGTGCAGCAAGATGCCGCAGATCAACTAGCATCTACAGACAATTTTTATGAATGTTTTTTATAGTGAATATAGGCTAGCTCAGCTCTATATTGTCAAAGATGAATATTCAGATGAGCTGAAAGTTCTATTTGCTAAAGTGCGCTTGCTGACCTCATCTGCTCTGGCCCTGCTGCTGTGTGCAGCCCTAGAAAGGAGCCATCACTCACTCACTCACTGCCTGTGCTGGGGACAGTCATATAGGACAATGGATTTCTAAGCTGAATACTTTATAAACTATAGGAAAAAACAGTCCTAAATATACTATCTTCTAAAACTCCAGAGAGGAAGATAACCTCATTATTTCTAAATACTGAAAATGTAAAGGTCCATACAAATTAAAAACTGTATTAAGTATGTACTTTTAACTTTAATATTCACTTGATGTGCTCTTAAAATCTCTATGAGAGAAGCAGATATTTTCCCCATGTCTTTTGGCAATAGTCAAAAGCAAAAAATAGCAGTGCTGTTGAATTCCATGAAAAGTTCTTCGTTTTTTTTTTAAAACTAAATTATTCAGTATCTGTATTGTTATTGCACACATACATTGCCTGAAATACATCTATTGCAACTCAGCAACAGTGATTGCAACAAAAGCAAAGTTACTGGATCAACAAAGCATTTGATTTCCTTATTAGGTAAGAAAGTTTTCAGAGGAAATGCAAACAACAGCAATTAGAATTAGTATATGTTTAACATTATTTAACCGTATATAAAATTAAATCTAACCCTCACCACTACAAATCTGCAAGGAGTCAGAAAAGGATTTACAGTACACAGAAAGTCTTGACTATTGTTGCATTCCACTCTTGAAGTCACTCTGAGTTAAAACAGCAACTTTTCCAAGATTTAAAGAAAATATATTTTCTAAAAGGATTCTTTTTAATCACTGAATAATCATTTTTATTACTAAGACAGAAACAAATTATATTTTCCACTATAATTTGCTCTGATGAAAGAAAGAATTCTCTCTCCTTTATCTCTTAGCAAATGTTATATTTTCAAGACTAAAGGAATTATCAGTAGGCATTCTTTCTTGATGTAAGTTATTTTTCTCTAAAATACGTCAAGTAAGCTTTTAAAGATTCAGGCAGAGAGAGCTTCATGATTTTTTCTCTCAGTAAATTCTGAGGGGGCTCCTCTGCTTTCACGGCTTCACTATGGCCTTTCTCCTCTTCTTTGTTTTCCTCTTTCATTTTTTCATCCTCTTCACTGTCTAGAGGCTGAGGAATAAGCTGATTACCCACAAATATGTAGGGGTTAATTCTCTGCTTAACTCGCTTTCTTTTCCTTTTGGGTGGAGCCCTCTGAGGAATCCCCTTGGCCTGCATCTCATCATTTATGAAATTTCTAAGTGTGCGTCGAATGTAAATGCGAGCCAAGTCCTGTAGATTCCTGACAGCACAAGGCCGGCGGGGGAGGGGGAGTCCCACTGAATCTGGTCTGCCATTATCATTCTTACTTGGCTGCACAAGTGGAGCAAATGAAACAGCAAGGATATTCTTACTTCCCCAAGTGTTTTGTCCAGTTCGCATAATTTGTGTTAACTGATCTTCTATAGGCATGACTAGAATGCCTCCAACTTTCAGCAAGATTTTCATGTAGTTTTCATGGTCTTTCTGGACTTCAGCTCCACAATAAATTCGATCATACTGATGACTGTCCGATGCTATCTGGAGGCAATTACCAACCACAAATGCAGGTTCACAGAAATCAAATTTACCAAAGCTATCACTATTTTTGATGAAGCTCTCCAGTTTTTCCTTAGCATATTTCACCACATCTGAATGAAGCTCAATCCCATGATTTATTCCAAAACGACCTAAAATTAAGCCCACCATTGTACTTAATTATCCGGTTCCACTTCCCAGGTTAAGAAAAGACAATCCTGGTTGAAGTTTCAATGCTTCCATAACTTCAGAGTAAATGTACAGTGCTGACCAGGTGTATGTTCCCATGCTTCCAGGCTGTCTTTGTAAGCATTGTCTCGGTAGTCTTCCAAATAGTAATATCCACGATCAATAGCTGTGAAGGCTTGCTCCACTTTTTCAGTGCGGATATACTGAGCTTCTTTTAAGTTATCAATTGAGTCATCAGTATCTTCCCCAGCACTCACAGCTCCTCCCATGATAGTATTCAAATCAAATCATAAATTTTAAAAAGTAATATAATTAGAAATGGCTTCCAATAATATAATGTGGTTTGTTTTCCTTTTAATATTGCACTTGATTTCCAAAAATAAATTAATCCTTGTCAACAAGATGCAGTGCAAAACTGTGAAAACAGATTTCCCAGACTCCTTTCTCTGTCGTCTGGTAGGAAAGACAAGCAGATCTGAACAGAAAGCTGCGGCGAGGGTCTGTGCGGCTCGCCTCAGCGCACGCAGCCAGGCGCTAGGACTCAGAGCTCCGCGGCAGCTCGCCCTCCGCTCCAGCCACAACAAGGCCGCCGTCCCAGCCACCGCCCGAGGGGCGGTCCCGACCAGCACTGGGAGGCCGGTCCGCCCCGCCGGCGGCGTAGTCGGAAGCCCAGGCATGCGCGGAGGGCCGCGGGCGCGGGGCTCACTCCGCGAGAACGCCCTCGCCGCCCCGCCCCCACCCCGGAATCTAAGGTGTAAATCTTTTTGACCTTGGATGAGGCAATGCCTTCTTAGATGTCACCTAAAGCATAAGCAACAAAGAAAAAAAATTGAGCTTCATAAAAATTAAAAACTGTACTTCAAAGGACATCAAGAAAGTAAAAAGACATCCCACAAAACTGAAGAAAATATTTGCAGATCATATATCTGACAAGTTAATACATAGTATATAATAAATTAGAAACTCAACAATAAAAATATAGTCCAATTAAAAATCGGCAAAAAATCTGAATATATGTTTCTCCCGAGAAGATATACAAATGGCTAATAAACATATGAAAAGGTGCTCAATGTCATTAGCCATTAAGGAATGCAAATTAAAATCATAATTAGATACCACATCACACCTACTACAATGTCTATAATAAAAAAGGGATAATAACCGGTGTTTAATGGAGGACTTATATCCCTCATACATTGCTGGTGGGAATGTAAAATGGCTAGCCACTTTGGAAAAAGTCTGGCTGTTTCTCAAAAAGTTAAACATAGAGTTACCATGTGATCCAGCAACTCCACTCCTAGGTGTATACCAAAAAGAACTGAAAACAAATGTTCACTCAAAAACTGGTAACAAATGTTCACAGCAGTATTATTCATAATAGCCGAAAGGTGGAAGCAATCCAAATGTCTATCTAATTCATGAATGGATAAACAAAATTTAGTATATATATATATATATATATATATATATATATATATATATACACAATTTTATAACCTTGTACATATATTCATCCATAAAAAGGAATGAAATACTGATACATGCTAAAACATAGATGAACATTGAAAACATTATGCTAAGTAAAGAAGTCAGACATAAAAGGCCACATATAGTATGATTCCATTTGTACGGAATGTCCAGAATAGACAAATCTATAGAGACATAAGTAGACTAGTGGTTTTTAGAGGCTGTGGAAAGGGGAAATGGGAAGTGTCTACTAGTGTGTATGGTGTTTCTTTTAAGTGTGATGAATACGTTCTGTAATTAGGTAGTGCTGATGGTTATATAACCTTGTAACTATATTAAAAACCACTGGATTGTCTGTAAAAGGATTTCATTTATAGTATGTGAATTACATATTAAAATATACATACATGTATAAATATTCTTTAGTTTAAGACTTAATTAGTCCATTTGTAAAAGCTGCTCAAATACAGTATTTGATTTTTTTTTTGAAGTGAGAGGTTGGTTTTATAACCAAAACATTTCAAAGAAAATAACAAAATGTGGGCAAATATTTATATTTGAAGAAAAGTTGGTTTGTAGAATACATGTAATTAAAGTTCTTAAAAAAGTGTTATGTTCTAATGACTGCATATTTCTTAAAAACAAACAAGTACATTGAGCAACCTGACAATCCCATAGTCCCTACTTCCTCTGGGAATTTTGCTGAGTATGTGGCAATGGAATCGAGGCTACAAAGCAGAGATGGTCATCAGAGTCTCATGGTGCTTAGATTCCAGGACCCAACCAGAGTAAAATACAAAAGTGAAGTGAAATTAACCAAGGCTCCTGAGTTCAAATCCTGCCAAGGTCAAAGAGATCAGCTCCTCTGTGATAGTGCTGGAAGTTAGGGTTTGAACTGAGGGTGGAGAGGTATCCTTAATCCCATGGAAACTAGAGGTGAACTCAATCTGATTAAAGCTGCAGACAACGTTTGGCTCACTTGGGAGAACTATAATGATCAGCCCCTAACTCTACTCTCCTGGCAGAGAAAAGGGATTGCATCTTCTGACAAAAAATGAAAAAGACAAAATATTGTATATTAATTCTGCTTTTCTTTTATACATAAAACTCAGAACAAGTAAAAAGGATAAGTATATGCAAAGAAGCAGGGCAGTATGACTTATTTTCAAGGGAAAATAAAACAAAAAATAGGCAGTTGAAGTAGACTCCTAGATGAATTAGCAGACAAATAAATACAAATAATAATTATAAATATATTTTTAATTCATAGGAAAATATGGGTGAAATAGGAAGAAATGGAGAATTATAAGAGATAATTAAATCTCTTTTTAAAAATTGGAAATTCCAGAACAAAAAGTTATAATACTTGAGATAAAAATTTGTTGTATGAGTTTAAAAGCAAATTGGACAGAGCATAGAATGGAACCATTGGACAGAGAACAGCATGATTGAACTTGAAGAAGGTCAATAGAAATTATTTAAAAGAAAACACTGACAGAATGTCAGAGACGTGTGGGAGAATATTGAAGAGTCTCACGTACATGATGACTTTTAAATATTGTGCCACAAGTCTCTGAGGCTCTGTCCATTTTCTTTTTGAGAGGGCATCTCTCATATTTATTGATCAAATGGTTGTTAACAACAATAAAATTCAGTATAGGGGGGTCAATGCTCAATGTACAATCATTAATCCATCTCAAGCCTAATTCTCATCAGTCTCCAATCCTCTGAAGCATAACGAACAAGTTCTTACATGGTGAACGAATTCTTACATAGTGAATAAATTCTTACATGGTGAACAGTACAAGGGCATTCATCACAGAAACTTTCGGTTTTGATCATGCAATATGACCTATAAACCATCAGGTCAAATATGAATATTCATTTGATTTTTGTACTTGATTTATATGTTGATCCCACATTTCTCCTATTATTATTATTATTTTTATTTTTAATAAAATGCTGAAGTGGTAGGTAGATGCAAGATAAAGGTAGAAAACATAGTTTAGTGCTGTAAGAAGGCAAATGTAGATGATCAGATGATCAGGTGTGTGCCTATGGACTAAGTATTAATCCAGGCTAGACAAGGGCAGCAAGACATCCACGGATGCAGAAGATTTCTCTCAAAGCAGGGGGGGTGAGGTTCTGAGCCTCACCTCTGTTGATCCCCAAATTCTCACCTGATGGCCCCCCTGCGACTGTGCCTGTCTTAGGTTGTTCCTCCCTTGAGGAATCTTACCCGTCTCTGGCTAACCAGTCATCTTCCGGGGCCATACAGGGAAATGTAAAGTTGGTAAGTGAGAGAGAAGCCATATTGTTTGCAAAGGTTAGCTTTTTACTTCTTTGCAGATTTATGCTCTGTGGCTTCTATGCCCAGCA